CACACAACAGCCCGTCCCACATGGGAGCTATGTCCCCGGGGCACCCATCTCCACACAACAGCCCGTCCCACATGGGAGCTATGTCCCCAGGGCGCCCATCTCCACACAACAGCCCATCTTACATGGGAGCTATGTCCCCGGGGTGACCACCTCCACACACAGCAGCCTGTCCCACATGGGGCTATGGCCCCAGGGGTCCACCTCCACACACAGCAGCCTGTCCCACATGGGAGCTATGTCCCCGGGGCGCCCATCTCCACGCAGCTGCCCGTCCCACACGGGAGCCCTGCCCGTTCCACCTGCAGCCTCCGCTGGCCACTTGCTAGTGTTCACTGACAAAGAGGGTAGCGAGGAGCTAACCGTTCACAGGGAATCTCTTAACAACACGTCATTGATTGGACTTTGGTTTTACAGAGCATCACTCTCTTCTTTTTTCCTTGTTTTGTCATTTTGAAATATTTAAACTAGAAAAGTTGCCTATCTTCATATTGCTGATTTTCTTATAGCCAGATTCAAAGTTGGTATCTGGTGCTTGCATTCGTGAGTAGCTGCACTCTGCTTCACATGTGAAGAATTAAATTCCAAGATCACAGAAATATTGCTCGCTGTAGTAGATGTTCCAACTCATACAAGCTTCTTAGGTGACATTTTGCACTCTTCAGATTTGTAAACCATAGTAACAGGAATGATCTACAAATAAATTTCCTGAAGATAAAAAAGACAAACTGCTCCTTTTCCATTACAGCCTAATAGAAATGCATTGAGCTGCAGAAGCAAAACTCTGCAAATCACAAAACCCTGTCTTGCAAGCTTTCCATCCGTTCTCKCCATTCATTGACCCAGTAACTTTTTCCACTCACGGATTCCCCAGAAACTTCTAGTTCCTGTAACTTGCCTTCTTTCCAATCATTAGTACTAATTTGACAAAGCAGTATACTTGCTCCTCCTACAATTATTCAGAAACCACAGTCTAATCCACTTTTGAGTCTGTTGTCCTTTGAAGTGCAGACAGCAGCAATGGCTCTGGCCATACCCCGAGAGCACCAGGGTTGTCTAAGTAGAAATAGGCACTCTGGGCTCACTAGCTTCTCATTTCTGGTTGTGAATGCTGCAGCATTACGCAATGATGACTTGCTTCTGGACAGAGACAGAGATGAGAAGTCTGTAAAATTTGCAATACTGCCTAACCTATTGTGTTTTGCTGGTGCCCAGAGCACTACTGCACACTCCAAAAGTTATTTTGTGATGAGACTGTACATAGTTTTCTCTTAAACTATGTTCTAGACAGGATTCTATGGAGCCAAGACAGTATAATACAATCAAACCCGCAACAACAGGTATCTCCCAATTTCCCCAACACGTGGGAATGTTCTCTTTCGTTTCCTTTTAAACACTGCTGCTCATGAACTCAGTTCCTTAAAGAATTACTTTTAATAATAATTAAAAAAATCTTAAGAAAGCTGAAGGGGTCACCAGAAGAGAAAGATGGTTCTTGCTTTTATCACCTTTTATAGATATCCTCTAGCCATTTTTCATCATCTTCCTCATCATCTATTGGTTCTTCTGTTTCCAGGGGAGAAGGAATGAAGAACTCAGGTCTGGGACGTGGTTTCCTGATATGAGACTTGAGTCCAAACTTGCGCTTTAATAGGTGAAACTGTTCTTTGACATAGTAATAGAATTCATATTCATATCTCATGCGCTGGTAGAGGATCTGTATGGCTTCTGGAGAAGGGACGGTCTTTTTCACTGTCACAGTCAAATTGCCAAGTTTCCTGTGTTCTGTAAAAAAAAACAAAACCAAAAACATGATAGATGTTGAATAAAGACCAAACTTAGAACTCTTTTTTTTTTTTTTAAATAAAGACAGCTACTATATTACTGATAAAAAAATGAGCTTCATTTGCCTTCTTAATAATTTATTTACTTTTAGTGAGAAATGAAAAATTAAAGGAGTTTGGAGTTAGACTAGCATGTCTGAATACGACTAGTTCATAGCATTTGATGTTGCACATTGTCCACCCAGGTTCCTAACTGGCAAGAGTTATCTAATGCAAATTAGGTCACACCAATTATGAGCATAAACCATATACAGAGAAACACATAATCTTGCCTAGATTGGCAAATTTTGCCTGATCAATCAGATATATATTTATCTCACTCCATCCTGGGTTGGAATCATAGCACTGTTGCCATCACTAGATGACACCTCTAGGGCTGAACATACCTACTGACTTTGCTGTCTGGTTATATCTATTAATTAAACTGGATCATCTCCCTATTGTGTCCCAGAACTGGAAGATTGGAGTCTGTTTCGCATCACCTGAGAACTTTTGTCTTCAGAAACTGAAATAAAATGTCTCTACAGTTGATAAATTAATAAAGTGACTAACAAAATATTGCATTGGCTCCTCTCCTCGCCTCTTCTCTCTCCCTAGATTATTCCAGCATTGAAGGGTAAATATAAGTGAATAAACATGGCATGGAACAAACACTTCAAGCAATCATTTTTCTGTTTTCATTCAAATGGCAACAGGCCAATGGAACATTTCAATAAATATCTTCTTCTCCAAGATAGAGAAGTAACTGAAAGCCAATTTGTAGAAAAGGAGAACAATAAAACCTTCATAAACATTACTGATCATAAAGCACTTAATTTGGAAGTATTGACCTGTAGAATCCCTATTTCATTCCAGGCCCTACACCTTTCTTTAGAAGTGGAGATGAATCTTAGATTGAGGAAGTAGTCCCTATCAGGGTTTCCAAAACCTCACTGCTCCAATCCAGTAGGCCTCACAGAACGTGACCTATTCTAAGGACAACATCTTTAGAATATGCAGACAAAGCAAGGGGAATAGCTTGTATGAAATGCAAGGAGATGCCAATCAGACATTAGCTAAAATCTTTTCATGGCAAGGATAGTTAAGCAGTGCAGAAGGGTACAGGTGTATGAAACACATACCTTTGGAGGATTTTAAGACCATATTATGAAAAAAAATCTGCAGAAAATGGAATAAAGATATTTGATTCTCTCCTAAGGGACGTGACTAGACAAGAAAACATACTAAGGCTGTTTTCTATGATTGTCAATATGAAATCAATAGAATCTTTTCCATCCTTATCTATTTCCTTGATTCTGCTACACTGGCAAGGTTTGCAAGAAAACTGCTTTTTTTTTTTTTTTCCAGGAAGTTACTTGGCTTCTGCTACCCATTCCTTCCCCAATATTTATATCCACTGTGCTGCTCCAAATGTCAGTCATAAATCCTTATATTCTACATGGCCATATTGATTAACTGTTGTAGTGAAGAAAAAACTGCATTTCGACATGCAAGCCTACTTCTTTCTGTGGTAACAGTAAATTAAATTCACTCACTTACTCTAAGTTTGGAGAAATGCAAAAGGCTCTGGCCCCAAAGCATGGCAAAGAACGAACTTACAAGAAGAAAGCAGACAACAGAAAATATTTCACTCTTCAAATTGGATTTGGCTCTGTTCATCAGTGTTGAAAAGAAGGAAGAAAATACACTGGTAGGTGCCTCCCTCTAAGAGCGTGTTACTGACCCCCGGGCAGCACACCTGTAGGCACGAGGAAGCCCTACCATGGACAGCTCAACACCGGGTGATGCCACTTCTAGGGCACCACTGTGCTGTTAATAGCAACCACTGTCACCTCCAGCCAAAGTCCCTGAATTGAGACAGTATTTTGACATGAGCAGCATTTTGCTCACGTGCCCAGTCTGAATTGAGATTTTCAGAGCACTTGCATGCAAAGCCAAACACCTGCTGAGCAGCTCTGCCGAGCAGCAAGTTTCCACAGTTGCTTACACATGAGTTTAAAGGATATATCCATAGCTCCTATTAGGAAAAGTGAGTTGTTTTGAAGATTTCACAAGCTATATATTTATCCAAAAGAAATAATTAAAAAAAAAAATACGGGAAGAGAAGATTTTTTTTAACCAAAGGCAAAACCACTTATTTCAAGCCCTAATAAAAGGTGATTAAGAATACAGCAATGTTCTTCAGACAAAAATGCGTATTTATACAAAACTTTAAATCTTGTGAAGTGCATCTGAAAGGCAGAGCACAGGTACGTGATGAAGAAAATTATTCTTTATAAGATTTATGTTCATAYAGTTTAGTGCATATATACATATATTTAAATATATACTAATTTTAACATAGCAGACATGCTATTTCCTACTTTGGAGAAGAGATATTAAATGTAAACAACTGAGAGCTGTTCATTTTAATAATGCTGCACGCACCAGCTAGTRCTACTGGGCTGGATGTTCTCACATGATTTAACTTGACATATTAGTTGCAGAAGAAAAATTACATCTAAAATCAGGTATTTTCCCTCCCATTTCTGGCTACCCATTTACAGTAGAGTAATCTGAAATGTGGGAAGGTAAAAACATAAATAGAGAACTGGTTAACTAGCTTAATGCTAATCTAAATCACAGAAAGTGACTTAAGGCATTGCACTTTATTTTGAATTTGTATTCTTAATTCCTTCACTAATGCAAGAATGGTTTTCACCAGTTGGTAACAATGAAAATATGCTGTTTGGTAATTAAATGGAGCCATTAATACAAAATTCATAATTCCCTACACTGATCAAAAAAACTCTACTCACATATCTAAGTAATTAAACAACTTAGTATACTTTCTTACTACTTTTGCACTTTAATTTCCTTAYAAATGGTTATATATGATTTATTCTTAGTGACTGTCTACAGCTTATTGATTTGCATGGGTTTATAGAAGTGGAACTTGATTAATATATACAAAAGTCTAAGTTAAGACAATTTAAAAGGGATCTTCAATATGCTGTTTAGCTAAGAAAAAGTGTAAAGAGATGATCATGAAATGTTTGCACTTAAAATGGACACTAGCATAGAAAGCACCACCTGCAGCTAGTTAATGGGGTGAAATATTTTTGGCAGTGCAGCCCCTCAAGAGCTTGTTATCATCTATATCATGTTTCCCCATAGATTGGATTAGGCAAACAAACAACCTGGTCTTTCTAAGTTCCCAGTTAGCTGCTCAAGTTCTTATCAATAGCTATTAGATGAATAAACCCAAGGAAGAATAATATAATCCCTCTGTTGTTAGGTAAGGAGGCAAGAACTGTCTTACAATGGTTTAGCACTTCAAGAAATTCCTCTTTCTGGTGCTCAGCTGGTAGCTTCCACCAGCTTTGCAGCCTGMTTTTCTTTACAAACTCAGCAGCAAATATACACTATTAAATATTTCATTTATTAAGCTTAAGTCTTTGTACTGGTTGCCAACTTCATTTCTATCTTACATGGGTTATTTCTGCCACAGAAAACTGCATTTGTGTAGCTGGAAAAAGCTCTTTATTTGTACAGTCCCACCAGGATTCTTACTGGGAAAAGCCACTTCTTACAGCATCAGCTCCCTTTGGCGGCTGCTCCTTGCAGCAGAGAGAGGCCCTTGTGCCCAGCCCAGGAGCGCTGCCAGCGATGACGAGGTGAAAAGGGTGCACAGCTTTCTCGGGCGAGCTGTGAGGGGCAGGACCAGCTAGAGGATAATTTACTGCTGGCCTGTAAGGCAGGACAAGGGCCACCAGCACCAGCACTGCCAGGAGTAGGAGCAGRGCATGAAGGCAGCAAAGGGGGCTCACAGTCACCTTTGGACTGGGCTTTGCCATTCCAGAGATCCCGACCTAAAGGATTCCTGGGAAGGTGTAATTATGCTCTGCTTTATGCACATGTGCATACTTCTGTGCATCTATACGTATGTACACATAGACATGCATACTCATGTGCTCTTGCTTTGAAAGGCTACAAACTCTCTCTTCCTTGTCAGCACATCATCAAAGGAAACTCCAAGGAGTGATWTTTTTTTTTTGTTTTAATCAGTGGAGGCTCTTTTTTCCCCCTCCAGTAAGTTATTCYACAAAGAGGGTAACTTCTAGTCCATTATGGTTACTTCTGAAAATTAAAGACTGCTGTAGATTTTATGGCTTCTATTGGCTTGCCTCTCAGTGTAATTATTACTAACTGCAGAGTATACATACTTAGGAGATGCTATTTGTCGAATGGTGCAAGTGAGGGCAGTGCCTGGCTTCAGGCTTGGATTTTGATAAAATAAGTRAACTTTACTATTTTTTTTACACTTGAATTTTATTCAGACTGCTTTCTAATCTTAAATTCACTTAAAGAGCCTTTTAATACAAACATGAATGAAMTCACAGAACAGCCCCTTGAAGTCACCCTAACGACCTCTCCTCAACATATAAGCAAAATGGAAAAGTTATGTACATCTGGCTTTAAGCCAACGCAACAATCTGCATATGCTACACCAACCCAGCTGTCCCACCAGAGGACTGCATTTTATGACCTCTGMGGCAGCTAACCATACGGAGGGCAACAAACTGCACCATTTACTTCTCTAGAGTTGCTTTTTTAAACTGTGTTTGCTTTGGCATTTTTTTAAGTTATTAAAAAGTAATGTACAGTAACCAATCCTCCCAGCACAGCCAGCTCATGCCTTGGATTACCGTGGTGAAGATGAAGATAATGGATGAAGGAAGCGAAATTCTTTTGGGGTTACCAGGTGATGAGTAGTTACCATTACTTTCCCCAATCTGTCTGGCTGTCTCTTTCTCTTCTTCCTTTTTATTTTTTTTTGCCTTACCACAGTTAAGCAGCAGAAATCTAAACCATAGGGAACAGTGTTTTTTTCTTTTTTTTTAAATATATTTTGTGGCTTGAAAAATACTTGGATTGCCATATTTAGACAAAATGATCCTA